TACATCTACACTTGCACCCTAGTTTGAACTAGGGATGCAAATGTAGGCGACCGAAATTGCTAATGAAGTGGGGATTTAAATATCCTGCGCTTCATTAGCACAATCTCGCCGGCGCATTATTCCACTCAACAGCTGTTTCGAAAGTGAATGTGTGTGCCAGGACGCATTAGTTCAAACCAAACCCCTTGCTTCAAACTAACGTTACTCCTCAAAAAATGAGGAGTAACATTAGTTCAAACTAGGGTGGGCTACATTTGCATTTTGGTCACCTACAGTTGCATCCCTAGTTTGAACTAGGGTGCAAGTGTAGACGTACCCATAGTGACTTTGCAATCACTTGTATGTATATGATTTATTAACCCTTTATAACTCTCTTCTTTTCTTTTATTAGTAAACCATGAGGGTATGTCTACACTACCCTCCTAATTCGAAATAGGAGGGTAATGTAGTCATACCGCAATTGCAAATGAAGCCCGGGATTTGAATTTCCCGGGCTTCATTTGCATAAAGCCGGCCGGCGCCATTTTTAAATGCCGGCAGTTCGAACCCCGTGCCGCGCGACTACACGCGGCACGGAGTAGCTAGTTCGGATTAGTACTCCTCGAGGAGTACAGCTAGTTCGGGAAGCCTAATCCGAACTAGCTACTCCGTGCCGCGTGTAGCCGCGCGGCACGGGGTTCGAACTGCCGGCATTTAAAAATGGCGCCGGCCGGCTTTATGCAAATGAAGCCCGGGAAATTCAAATCCCGGGCTTCATTTGCAATTGCGGTATGACTACATTACCCTCCTATTTCGAATTAGGAGGGTAGTGTAGACATACCCTGAGGTTTTAGTTACTAAAGGATTGGTAGTAATTATTGGGCAACAACTGAGTTATATACTGACCTGGGTAGTAGCTAATCCCTTGGGACTGGAAGGATCCTAATTCTGATTAAACTGGTTTTTAGTAACAACTCATCATGAAGTGTAGTACTTAGATGGTGAGCCAGGAGCTGGAATGCGACAGAGACTGTGTTTTGATAACACAGAAGTTCACTTTTGTTACTAGCTTGGCATAATCGAAGAATAGAATAATCATCAGTCTGGGGTGTTCTATTTCTCAGCAGTGTGTCCTGAATTTTGATTTCTCATTTGTGATCCACTGGAGGCACAATGACAACTAATCCAACCAACAACATGGTAGTTGTGAGAACTGTACTGACTCCACAGACTCATTTCACATGAGCTGTCCAGTGGCTCTCAGAAAAGTATACGGTTCAACAACTATTCACCTGAGCCGGATCTGACGAGATGACTGAGAAGTAAAAGTTCTGTATCCAATTACCAAATGATATGTGCCATCAGATGAATTGAAATATTATTTACTATAAGATGGCTCCTGGTCTAGATGAAAGAAAAGATTTGTTTCAGGTCAGGTTCTCATAAAGAGGTGCCCGTAAGACCAATAATTGCAGTCACAATTTCATTAGCAGACTAATAATTGAAGAATAGCATGGAATAGTCATGAATGATAGACTGCACATGACTTTGTTTTAGACAGTCAAAGCTAGAAAGCCATGAGGAATCTTACATTGCCACTGCTTATATTATGCCTGTTCCATGGTAAAAGAACAACATTTTCCGGTGCCGTCTCTCTGGCATATTTCATAAGCAGTATATTCTTTTTCAGAGACATGGTTAAAAAAAGATGGATAAAGATGGCTTAAGAAGTCAAAAAGCTGTCAAGAGGAGAAATGGGTTGTGTGGGTCTTAAGGATACAAACTAGAAAGACGACAAAGAAAAATAGTAACCAATAGTGATTGGGTATTAAGGAAAGAAAATACTGCAAATAAAAGGGATTTCCCAGGAAGTAACAAAAAATAATAGAAGATACTTGTAATAAATAAATGATAAAATAAATAAGAGGAGATCAATAAAGAAAGCCAGTGAATTACTAGAGAACAGAAGAAAAACAACAACAACAAAGGAACAAGATATAGTAGAAAAATTATACAAGTTCTTTATCTCACTGTTCATGAGGGAAATTGGAGGTGAGATGCCAGAAATGGAAACAGTGTGTCTGGGGCAACACAATGAAAAACTAAAGGCATTAGCAATCAAGTTTTGTGTAATTTAAAAATCAATAAAAACAGATAGAATGCCAAGGCCATATGGGTTACACATTGGGATACAGAGGGAGATGGAACAACAGATCATTAGCAGTCCAACAAGAGTTATCTTTTAATAGCATCTTTGGATGTGGTGAGATAACAATGAACTAGAAAGATGTGAACATAATGAAATTCAAGGACCCTATAGGGACTGAAGGAATTAAATCTGGCCTTGGTGGCAGGCAAGATACTAGAGATAGTCAATGATGAGATACCAAAATAACTAGAGAAATATGACTTGATAATTAATCATCAACTGTTTCATAAGGGATAAATATCAGTTAGAAATCTTAAGACAACATTACAGAAAAGAAACAGAGGCAAGGCACAGATAGATATTGCTTGGATTTTGAAATGGAGTGCCATACAGCAAGAGATGAGGTAGGTGAGGTAATATCTTTTATCAGACCAACTTTTGTGCAAGCTTTTGAGCTCCACAGAGCTCTGCTTCTGGTCTGGGGGAGGAAGCACAATCCAGAGAGTCTGAGCTAACCACAAGCTGGGATAGACCATTAAGCAAAAAAATGAGCTGGGGATTACAGTGGATGAGAAGCTGGATATGAGTCAATAGTGTGCCCTTGTAGCCAAGAAGGCTAGCGGTATATTGGGGTGCATTAGTAGGAGCATTGTCATCAGATTTAGGGAAGTGATTATTCCCCTTTATTCGGCTCTGGTGAAGCCAAATTTGGAGACTGCATCCCATTCTGGACCCCCTATTACAGAAAGAAATGTAGACACATTGGAGAAAGACCAGTGGAGGGCAACCAAAATGATTAGGGGGCTGGAGTACATGACTTGCGAGGAGAGGCTGGAGGATTTAGGCTTCTTTAGTCTACAGAAGAGAAGAGTGAGGAGGATTTGATAGTAGCCTTCAATACCTGACGGGGCGGGGGAAATCCAAAAAAGATGGAGACATATGACAAAATGAGGAGCAATGGTCTCAAGTTGCAGAGGGGATGTCTAGGTTGGATATTAAGAAAAACTATTTTACTGGGGAGTGGTGAAGCACTGGAATGGGTTACGTAGGGAAGTGGTGGAATCTTCATCCCTAGAGGTTTTTAAGTCTCAGCTCGACAAAGCCCTGGCTGGGATGATTTAGTTGGTGTTGGTCCTGCTTTGGGCAGGGGGCAGGACTCAATGACCTCCTGAGGTCTCTTCCAACCTTATGATTCTAAGTGGAAGGCATCAGACCTGTTGGAACCACTCATGTGAAATGAAGTGGGCAACAGAACCTTAGATTGCTATGCACAGATTGTTTAAGTGGGCAATAAAAGCAGCAAGCAATATGGTGTGAAATCAAACTGTTGTAATGAGCCATGCAACTAATGTCCCTACCTCACCTACCTTGTCTCGCTCATATTCTGGGACAAAAACAGGCACAACACTTTAATGAAGTAAGAAAGATAGAGTGCATAATCTAGACAAGTCTAATACACAGAAGACAGAATGTCCTTGAATGAACAAAGAAATGTATTGACAAAAGCAAGAATGGCAAAATGAAAAGTACAGAGTGAATACCATTTATTTATGAAGAGGGTGAATAATTCATTTGAAGCATCAGAGAAGAGACTAAATATGTTAGCAGGCCCATTCCCTGTGTTTCTCTTCCCCATATGCTTATGTTGTCTGTGTTTCCAATTTTAAGGACTGGTTCAACTTCCCTTTCTCCAAGTTCTTACATCACTTCTCAGTAATAGTAATGTTGCTAGTTTCCTTGCCCTCCGGTCTGCTCCCCTTATATTCCTGTATCACTTACATCTTTACTATCTTATTCTGTGATTGTGTAAATTCTCAAAAGTTATGCAGAGACAGGCTTGGCCAATATTTGCAAATAGGGCCACAGAGGAAAAAAAATCCAGGTATTGAGGCATTCCAGCACAAATGTCACCAACATGGTGATAGAAGGCACTGTGCTGCTAGAGGTACTGACTTTTGGATGAGTTGCAAAACTAAGATCCAGACAATCTGTGCTTTATAGAATGACACTCTTCTCAAGATCATAAGAAAAAAAGAACTTTACTGGGTCAGACCAAAGGTCTATCTAGCCCAGTATCCTGTCTTCCAGCAGTGGCCAATGCCCAGTGTCCCAGAGGGAATGAAAAGAACAGGTAATCATCAACTGAGCCATTCCCTGTCACCTATTCCCAGCTTCTGACAAACAGAGACTAGGGACATCATTCCTACCCATCCTGGCTAAAAGTCATTGATGAGCCTTTCTTCCATGAATTTATCTAGTTCTCCTTGAACCCTGTTAAACCTGGTCTTCACAACATCTTCTAGCAAGGAGTTCCACAGGTTGACTGTGCATTGTGTGAAGAAATACTTCATTTTGTTTATTTTAAACCTGCTCCCTATTAATTTATTTTGGTGTCCCCTAGTTGTTGTGTTATGGGGAGGAATAAATAACTTTTTTTTATTTACTTTCTCTGGACCAATCATGATTTGATAGACCTCTATTATATCCCACCTTCGTCTACTCTTTTCTAAGCTGAAAAGACCCAGATTTATTAATCCCTCCTCTCGTGACAGCCATTTCAAACCCCTAATCATGTTTCTTGCCCTTTTTTGAACTTTTTCCAATACCAAGATACCTACAGGAAGGAGAAAGATCAGGTACACGACCACTGGTATTGAAATTGATTCTTCCTCCTAGGCAAGAGACCCAATTACCTTCCAACAATCCTAAACTCCTTAGTCGTCTTAGCCTTACCTCAGGCTGGATAAAGGCACCTTGTAGAGTGATAGCAGAGATTTCTGGCATCAGGCCAACGTGTTGCTCATTTTGTCATATTCCTGACTAAAAATAATCACTGATTATAGTTAAAAGAAAGGAAGTGTTTGTAGTTTACCTGAAGCCTCGGTATGGTAAAGGCTGGAAGCCTTTGCTATTTGTCCTGGCTGATGGAGGCAGCTATCTGAAGATCTTTGACTTGCAATCAAAATCCTACTTTTTGCAGAGGGTAACCTGGAAACTGCACCCAGTCCTAACTGTGGTTTAAGTATCATGGCAGATCGATAAAAGCTTGGAGATACCTCATAGTGGGTATATGGTGGGGAACAGAATTCTTCTTTCACAGGCCTTTTCCCAACCTACAGAGAAATAAATGAAACTGATATTACTGTAGTACAGTCACATGCTCAGGAAACATGGAGCTCATGTTGGCAGTATAAACTATGACTAATTTCTCCTCTTTGCGACCGATGGTTTGAGATCAACATGGAAGATTCAAATTTTGATCCTTTGACCACATTGATCACTAGCCACAGAATAACAAGTTCATTCACAACCCAGTCAAACACAACATACAACTGCCCCTGGTTCTCAGAAAAATCCTCAAATAGTGAAAATGTTGTGACGCTATTAATACCTAGAAAGTAAATTTCCTTGACCGTGGAGAATGATTTGCCAAAAGGGAAATTTGTAAATGCAATTTTTATTGGATGTTATTTAAAACACTACTTATCGGAGGATAAATTAGAGCTCTATTTTTTAAAAAGACATTCATTTCTAGCAAAGACTCTTAGATGAACAAGTTGTCCTTTATTACAGGAACGTGGAGAATTTAATTTTTACACCATAATGAATGAAACAATTATAAATAAGTTGAAAGTACTTTGAACTAATTTCAACAGAAAAATAATCTCTTTTGAGAGTAATATGTTCACTTTCATTGTGATGAAACTTGGCCTTATTCCTTCACAAAAAGACCCCGAGTCCCATAAATATATTTGCTGTTCAAAAGTACGTCAGATAATTTGATATGAAAATATCACCATAGGGACTGATCACTTTGGCTTTTGTTAGTCACAGTATGTTGTAGACAACCTAAATCACACGCTGCTGTCTCTGCTTCCTGAAACTGAAGCTTCTTAAAAGAGGGAAACATTTTTGACCAGTGTGGGGTCCAATTCATGAAACTTCCAGGATTCACGTCCCAAATACATTGGCTGATGAATGCTGATGAAATGCACAGCCCCACAAACAACAGCAGAGCAAATTTGCCACGTAAAGGCCATGAACCTGCAAAGACGTGTGCTTAGCTCTATATATGCATGCATCGTGTGCTGAGGCTCAGTATACTTTATAGACTTATAGTGGTATAACTAAAATCCACCCGCAGAGCTACACTGCCCAAACTCTTGTGTAGAAAGTGCCATGTCAATGGGAGGACTTCTCTTGTAGTGGACACAGCTATCACTTTTCAGGGGTGCAAAGTCCCTACTCCAATGGGAGAAGTACTCCTGTTAATATAGGTAGTGTCTTCACTACGTGCCACAGTAGTGCAACTGTATCGCTGCAACACTTTAAGTTTAGACATGCCCTGAGTCTACCTCGTCAGGCTGTGGGCTGCTTTCCATGACTTGGGATAAAAGAACACAGTAATGTCAAATACTTTTCAATTCTCCACAATTTGCTAAGACACATTTGCACTATTACCACCAAGTAGCACCCTGGCTTAGAGTCCAACCTTTGTAGACTTTTAAAATATAAATCTGTCTCTCCATCTGTCTGCAAGCCGTTTGTTCAGAAACTCCTCCTAAAGGACAAGAGCTAGAACCTCCAAATTTGGCATTCAGCTTCCTATTATAATAGCTTAAAATGAAGAAAAACAAAACTTTTTTGGAGATAAGGACCCAAGCAATGCCAGGTAAATCTAGTCAAAATCATAATTCTCTGCCAAGGACCATTTAATATTTTCTAGTGTCCCTCAGTTAGGGATTTTTTGAGGGGGCTGGCTTTAGTAATCAGGGTTACATTTATTTGAAAAATTAATCAAATTAATCAGTCAAAAATAGCCACAGGATATCACATATGCAGAAGTACTGATTGATTTATTCTGCTGTAAATTACAATGTATTTAATACGTCAGCCCAATATAATTTTGGAAATTATAAACATTTAGAGTATGCACTTTAACAGTGGCTATAGAAGCTTTGATCCTAGTAAGTTGGTAAGAACATATTTAATATTCAGAAATATGCAAGATTGGCCTTAAACTACCATAGATCTCAGTTTAGAGTCTTTTAGGCTTTGGCTTATTTTATACTGATAAGACCCACACTATAGATACTTAGGGCTTGTCTGCATTTAAAATGCTGAAACTGTGCTACTGTAGCACTTCAACAAAGACACAGGAGAGGTTCTTCTGTTGGAGTAGGTAATTCACCTCTGTGAGGGGCAGTAGCTAGGTTCAGGGGAGAATTCTTCTGTCAACCTATCGCTGTCTACACCCAGGGTTAGGTCAATTTAACTGTGACACTCATGGGGTGTGGGTTATACATCTAATTTCCTAGCGTACACTAGGCCTCATCATTTTATCTTTGTTCTACATTTCTCACCACATATGTAAAGTCATTTTCCATCATTAAATCTTCAATTACATTCTTCTTTCTTTGTATTATCCTTATATGGCTTACTTATCTATTTTCAGAGCTATCCTTATATGGCTTACTTATCTATTTCAGAGCTCAGGATTTTATTTTTTACATCTGATTCCTGATGCTTGACCTGTATGAACTTATAAAAGCAAATCATCTTAATTTTTCAAAATGAATCAATTAGGGATGTAAGAGTTTAACTGGTTAACTGATAAGCTGATGCATGTCGGTTACTGTTAATGGTTAAACTCTGCAACTTTGCTAGGGAGCATGTGACCAGGAGCTTCCAGGGCTGGGAGCTGGGATCTAGCAGTCCCATAAGGCTGGTAGCTGGGAGCCAAACTAGCACCCTTCCCTCACTACTCCTTCATCCTCAGGTAACATGTTTAACGGTATAATTGAATTTTGATTGGTTACATGGTTACTATTTTTATACATTCTTTACATCCCTAGAATCAATGTGTAGGTTTACTGCAGCTTTTAGGTATGAAATTGTTTTCCTGGATAAAATTGGTTACCCTTTTTCCTCATATGAGCATATTTCAGTCAGATTTCATTATACACTTCCTATCGTTTTGTTTTTAACTGGCAATGAATAGACCAACAACAATTACTAAACAGAAGGAACAGAGAATTTCTCTATAAATAGAGAGGTTATGCATTTTTAATAGCTGAGTTAGTTTTGCCAAGATTTCAAAATATGTTTGTTAATCTTTATTGACAGTACTCATATGAGCATATTTCAGTCAGATTTCATTATACACTTCCTATCGTTTTGTTTTTAACTGGCAATGAATAGACCAACAACAATTACTAAACAGAAGGAACAGAGAATTTCTCTATAAATAGAGAGGTTATGCATTTTTAATAGCTGAGTTAGTTTTGCCAAGATTTCAAAATATGTTTGTTAATCTTTATTGACAGTACTCTCT